ATTTCCTCTTTTTATTTATACAACAGTTGGACCATTTTAATTAATTATTTCCCACATCTGGGCTTAAATGTGTTTATTTTTTAAATGGTAAAATGATGAATATATACATAAAAATTATATCCCAAACTGTAGCCTTATAATTCTATTCTGAAACAGTATTGCTCCAGGCATTCCCATTTTGCACCACTGTAAATATCTTGAAAAGGCAACACATCCTTTTAAAAGACATTAAATTTTCAAAAGTGAAGGCAGAAGCAATGGAAGCTATGATATTGCATTGCATGCTAATTTTTGTTAGTGCGAGTGCTGGTGATTGCCCCAAACTTGTTTCATGTGACCACCCCAAAGTCAGACTATTTCCATCAAATAGATCTGACCCCAGTCTCCTCTGCTTGCTTTTCCCAGGGAAATGATGTGCTTGGTAATGGCAGCATGACTTCATAGGATAGGAAACTTTCAGACCCATCCACCTTGTTCATAGCTCTGGATTAGTCATAGCTGTTGTATAAATACATACTCACACTGTGCTCTTCTTGAGGGATATTATATTTATCTCTATTTGGTTCAAGACATTCCCTAAACAATGATAAATACAGTTTAGATAGTTAATCAATATTAACCAAAGCTTCTTTTTCATGAATAAGCTACAAATACACCAGCAATTTTTTCTTATGATGGTGAAAATTGAGGGGCTGTCAAGATGAGTTTGGGTAACAGCTACTGTGTTCATATTTTATGCCATGTCTTTAGATTTTGGGGGAGGAGGAGGTACCAGGAATCGAACTTATGACCTTGGGCTTGCCAGGCAAGCGCTTATGCCACTGAGCTACATCCCGGCTCTATGCCGTGTCTTTACAACTCATAGCAACATCCGGTTATCAGAGGCACTCTGTTCTGATCCAGTGTTCGCCGCTGACCCTTACTCACACTTGCTGCAATGTGACTTAACAAATAGGTTCTAAAGGAACAGGAAGTAATGTTAGGTTCTTGAATAACCTGGCTCAGTTGCCGCTTGAATCAGCTGGCTGGTTTATGTCCTTAGCAATAGTCCCACCGCTTGTGTCTCCACATTGCCACCTGCTGGTCAGTCTTGGTCAAACGGCTGTATCTCAACTCCGGAGCTGCACATATTTCTCTGGGTGAGACAGAGTCCTGAGCGTTGGACGATCGTGCTCAAGCCCTAGCTGGATTAACAAGCAAACAACTGCGCTCCTGGAGCCATGGTCCAAGGCATTAGGGGAACTGTGGGCAGTGTGGACAGTCAGGTGATAATTACTGAATTTCAAAATTTGGAAAATACATTGGCTTAAAGATTCTGTGTATATTTTGTTCTCAGATATAGCCCCAGCATTAAAGCGCTGCCTGATACAGCACTTGCTCAATAAATATGTACTAAATAAGTGAATATCTAAAGGAGAAAGATAACTATTCTCGCCAATTTACCATATTATTCAATGACTTCAGGAAGAGGTATCATGTATTTGTATATATAGAATTGGGAGAGATAGGAATGAATGAAAATAAAAGGAAAAAGGTAAAAAGGAAATATCTAAATGATTATAACCATAAAAATATTTAAAATCTAGATAAAGAAATATACATGCTATTAAAATTTACAAATAATAATCCATTCTGCAGTTATTTATTTATTTATTTATTTATTGGCACTGGGAATCGAACTCTGGACCTTGCGTTTGCCAGGCAGGTGCTTGTCCTGCCAGTTAAATTTTGACATTCATCCCTTTCTATTTTTTATCATCCCTTTCTACTTTAACAAAATTCAAAACAAGGAAAATATCTCTATTAAAATATCACCTTTTTCTGCTTACTCAGCAGACTTTCAAGTGGTCCCATTTATATATACCCATGACACCAACCTATTTTTTCACATTGTCATTTGACACAGAAGTTGAAAGAGGATATTGATCTAGCTTCCACAAATCTGAAATAAGAAGTTGTTTGCTGAAAGAAATTCCACTTATAAGAGCAGAATTGGTTTTTTAGAAATGTACAGTACCTTTTTTTTTTTTAAAGCACCGACTTACTCTTTTTCCCTACAGGGCTAACATCTAGATTTGTGTGTGTTGGCCAACTCCTTCATGGGTTCCTGGTGCTAAAACACATCTTACTGGTCTGCCAGGACCACATGACTCTGGCCCCTTTTATTCAGGGTCACTTCTCAGTGTCTTGTCTGCAGCTAGCAGCCTGCAAGTTGAGGACTACCTTCTCTGAGACAAAGACAGGCACACATACTGCTTGCTATAAAATAGCAGGTCCTGGAGCAGAGGGTCCCTCACCTACGTGCCACCCTCTGTAGGTACAGACATCACCTGGGCCCACCTGCAGTCCCCTGTGGGAACAGGGGCCTGGGGAAAGATGTGGCCACTCAGTGGCTGCTTTCAACTCTGACACAGGAGTCACGCGTCTTCTGTCAGCATCCATGAAACTGTGATAAGTTAACATCTTGGCTAGAGGGTCAGGTAAAATCTCAGACCTGTCACAGTTCTGTCATCTTGGGATCGCTCCTAGCAGAAAGCCCAAGCACCCTCCAGAAAAAAACAAAATGAAATTTCAAGAGGATAACTCAGAGATAAATAATGGATGACATAAATTAAAGATACTCCCTCATTAGTATAAACAGAACTTTTAGCCTAGAAAAAGTGTTTTAGGGGATTTTGATATTTTATTAAATTTTACAACCTAGCTCTTTACTTACTTTTTTTGTGAGTGTTACACAAAAAATGGGTAAAGTGGTAAGATTTTGTAAAATTCAGAGTTTCCACAATATAAATTAAAAATAAAAATATCTTTTACAGGAGAGGAATTTCACTCTTTAACTGAAATGGATTTTCCCACTATATAATTTCATCATTTTTTGCACCTTAGTAATATAGTAGAGAATTCATTTGAAGAGTCATGATTAAATATCCACTTTTTAAACTCAGGCTTCTACTTTTGCTGAGGTAAATACATCCATCTCTTTCACACTGAATTCTTAGCTTTACAGTTGGGAAGTATTCCCTTGATGCTTTGGGTGGGGGGCTTCTAACGCTTTGTGAGGGCTGCTTGCCTGTAGATAATACTACAGTATAGCTAATACTATACTAATTTGACATTAGCATACCATGGCATTCAACAAATGAAAGAGGGACTCTAAAAATCAAAAGTCTTGGGGGTTAAGAAATACGAAATCTTTTTCCCAGATCTGACTTGTATTCTCGTATGAGTTTGAGAAAGTAACCATTCTTCTCCTTCTTTCTCTCCTTCTCCTCTTCTTTTTCTTGAACTTTTACAAAAGATACTCCTTCTCCCTCAGGGTCCACCAATAATAATCAGAGAAAAGGCCTCCCTGGCAAAATACCAAATAATGTTGAGGGAAGGCAGGAGCATGAGAATGAAAGAGAAATTCTACCCTTCTTATTTGGAAGGCTGTAAACTGTAGGGTTTGTACTATAAGCAACATGTTCAACATGTTTTCCTTGTAATTAGTAATAACTGACTTGCAGATGACCCATTCATTCTGTGCGGTGAACGTGTGATGTAAATTTAAACACCTCTTACTCAACAGTACGACTGCCAAAAACACTTAACATCTATTTGTTCACTATCCCCAGTACTATGCTATGTCAGTTTCCTCTCTTTAAAAAAAAGAAAACACAGAGAACAAATAATTGGACAACAAATATTTCTTTAACATTTTAACTATAATTCTAGCTCCCTAGTTTAGAATTTTACTATGCGTCCTTTTAATAGTATTAATAGAGAAGTTTAAGATTAAGTCACTCTTCGTAGGACATGCTATTCCGAGTGCCGATGTGACTTTAGGTCCCAGCATACCTAGCTGCTAAGGGTTTCCCTATTTATTGTCTGTCACATTGTCTATTTTTGAATTGGTAAAATTTAACTCATTAAAATGTTACAACACAGCAATTTGAAAGTAAACACTGATGCAGGTTGTGGAGCCGCACACGGGAGGCAGAGCATGAGCTACATAGTGAGACTGTGTCTAAAAAAAAAAAAAGTGTATATATACATATACATATATGTATATATACATATATGTATATATACATATATGTATATATGACATGCCATTGGTAAAGGTAGATTTTCAAAGATCACCAGGCTTATATATGAGCCCTACTCAAGGGCAGTGAGCAGGAGAATGTTGCCACCGAGCAGGAACCACCTACAGCCCTCAACAGTAAATGCTCAGGCCTGTTGGCACACACCTGCACTCCCTAAACTCTGGGAGGCTAAGGCAGGAGTACTGTAAGTGTGAGCGTAGCCTGGGCAACTTACCAACTTAGTGGACTCCTGTTTCAAAATTTAAAAAAAAAAAAAGTAAAACAGGCTGGAGATACAGCTCAGGACTGAGGCCCTGGGTTCAATCTCCAATATCCCCACCCCAAAGAAAGGTAAATGAATCCATGGGAAGAGCAGAGCAGTTTTAGAACTCAAGCCCCAGAGAGGGGCCACAGAGCTCCATTTGTCCGATCTGAACAGGCCAGGCCAGGGCACAGCCGTGAGCCAGGCGCCGCTTCCGGCCTTACAGCTTGAACGCAGAAGGCTTGTGATACTCGTGTATCTCTACCTGATAAATGAAAGAGGACTTTGAAAAGAACAAAGCCTTTTTGGTAAAATGCTTAAGGTATTTTTGTAAACCTCAATCTATTTTACAATTCCCTTCCTCTGTGAGATATCCCACAATGGGAGCACAAGTCCGCCACAAACGGACTGATGGAAGCTCTAAATAAAACCCTCATGAGGTTACTGTTTGAAGGAAACCTTTACATGTCCATGTGGAGAGTCTCTTAGTTTTGAGAACTACATAATGGCCCAAGAAGAAGACATTCTAAAAGTGCTTCTTTCCTACTACCTGCTTTGCAGCTCTGCATGGAGTGCTGACTTCTTGATTGCTCCAGCCTGTAGAGGGAATCATCGTCTTACTGGTGTGCAAGAACGACTTTCTAAAATGATGAACTGGACTTTATACTGACCTTATTAGCACTGCTAAAAAAATCGTTTGCCTTTTTTAACCAGATCTTCCTTTGCATGATGAGTTGACCAAGTTCATCTTGAAGCTGATTCAGTTTCTGGTTAGAGAGCTGTAGCTGTTCCCTCTCCACGTAGTCCTTTGACAGCAGAATCTCCAGCACCTCGCCCTTCAGCTTCTCCACAGTAGAATTCCATTCCTAGAAAAGAGCACATCCTTTACTTCTCACACACACCCCGCTGTTACCACTAAATGCTTGTGTCCCTTCAAATTCACAGGTCGAAATCTAACCCCTGATCTGATGGTATTTGGAGGTGGGCCTTTGGGACTTGATTAGGTTGTAAGGGTAGAGCCTTCCTGAATAAGATTAGTGTCTGTATACAAGGCACCCAACGGTGCTCTCCAGCTCCTCCCCCACTATATGAATATACAGTGAGAAATCAGCAATACCCAGTGCAGAAGAGAATCCTCACCACAACCCAGCCACCTCAGCACCCTGATCACTGACTTCTAACTTCCACAACTGTAAGAGATATATTTGTGTCGTACATAGTCAGCCTATCTGTGATTTTGTTACAGCAGCTCAAAGACATTTCCTTTTGCAATCGCTGATGGAAATGAGAGAACGTTTATGTGTGTTGAATGTATAGGAAGTCTGTCATATTTAAATCACAAAAATACTGCAGTAGTAAATACCATACTAAAGTATCGAACCCCCTGTGGAGGGTTCAGGTCTCCCACCCAACAGTATGACACATGGATGCAAAATAAAGACAAAGAGGAAAGTTCTGCAGTTGAGGAGCTCTGAAATGACCGATGTTCTGTGTGGAACAAAAGGCCCCAAGTCCAAAAGCTCATGGCTTCTATTGGTGTCAATCAGGGAGGTGGATGGGGGTCATGGCAGAGTGCACCCAAAAAGAAACTTTGCAAGCATTGGCTGTAGTGAGAAACAGAGCAATTTTGTACCAGGCACAAAGGCTCTCCAATTAGCGATGTAACTGATAGTTTGATGTATGAAAGACTGCCACCTTTACTGCCAGGTGCCTCAGTTGAGATGTTATCTCACGTTTTAGCCCTGGAATCTCACAGGTTCATGCTTGAGCCACCATTTGAGCTACCAGCTTGGGGCGGGGGGAGGTGGGCAGTTCTCACCCACGTGCTGTAATGAGACACATTGGCCTCTCCGTCAGACTCATCACAGACTTTTAGCCAATTAAAGAAACATCTGTTTCAGTACAGCCAGCTCTGCGTATCTCAGTGAATGGGGTTGAAAGAGAGGTCAAGGAAAGATCGAGGTCAAGGAAAGATCTTTTCTCAGAAGAGTGCAGTTTGGTGATCTCCCACACTAAAGGTCTGACTACCAGCATATACTTACAATAGGAAAGGGTGTAGAAAAAATGGTATAAAGGGAAAGGTGAGAGCAGAAAATGACAGAGTGGAGAGGAGTGACTGATGGATCACCTGGTTGCCCTGAACACACATGGCTTCCACATCTGCTACTTTTATCTAAAAGCACCGTCCACAACATCTTAAAATCTCTAGCTCCTTTTGTCCTATTTTTATTCATGTAAGTATGAAAGAGTATCTTTCCCATTATTCAGCCTTCCTGTCAGTGTGGTACCAGACAGGAGAAATCACATATCCATACCCATCATTTCTGTGTCTGCCCACATATAGAACTGAAAACAATACCTGTTCTTCCTCACAAAATTAGTGCTTGTTAGTGCATAGTGTTTCCTACCTCCTTGCCCTAGTTTTTCCCCTTAATGCTGCACTCTTAATGACATATAAACATTTCAGAAAAAGAAAAGAGGGGCTGGGGATTTAACTCAGTGGCACAGCGTCTGCCTGGTAAGCGCAAGGTCGTGAGTTCGATTCCTGGTATCGGAAAATAAATAAAATAAATTAAATAAAAAAAGACTGTAGGAACAGAAAAAGAAGAGATAGCTTTTTATGTAATAATACACAAGAGTGAAAAAGCAGTGAAGAGAAGAAAAAAAATAAAGCTGGAGAGAGCCAAACATTAACATTCAATTTAATATTTTAAGGGAAATTTAAGTTTCTTGTAAAAGGAATGAAGCCAAATTTAGTTTCATAAAATAATGATTATCTCTATCAAGGCAGACATGTTAGCGAACTTTCTGGTACCCATTTCCGCTAAAATTGAGCAGTTAGTATAGGTTATTTGTGAAAGAACAAATTAATACTGGACTTCAAAAATCTCAGTCTGACTCCATCCTGGATTGTTCTCCCAGTGCAAAATGCCCTATTATTATGTTACTTTTGTTATATTAGGTTGTATAAAACGAGTATAACTGTAGAGAAATTTACCATCATTGTTTCCATTTATTCCACAAGACATACTAAGAAGCATGTGCACGGCATAATTGATGGATGTAGTGGGGAATAAAATGTAGTTCTTTCCTTTAATAGTAGATAAATTGCTATTTTTTAATAAAATATTCCTGTATACTTATCTTACAAAATATGTTAAATACGAACACACAGACCCCTATAATGGTAGTGTCTAAAATAACAATTAGCAGGTGTTGAAGGTAGAAGTTGTCTATTCTATTTTGTGGTGCCCATAGAACCTGCTTTATGAGGAAATATTTTGATCAATGGCTATAAAGAGAAGGAAAGCAGATTAAGGGATTGGCTTTTTCTTTACCTTTCTCTTTCCTTTTTTCTTGGTATTTATATCAGCTAAGAAGACCACACTACTCAAGGTTATATACGCAGTAAGTAGCAATCCAGGACTAGTTCACAGGCCTGTGTATCATGCTATTTTCCAGGGAATTGAGGATGGAGATTCCACAACTCCAAATTTCTCAGTGTAGTGCAAAAGCAATACTTTTAGGCATGGACACAGGCTGCATGAGTTCTCAAGGTCCTTTATTTTTTAAAGAGTTTTGTCTCCTTACTTAAGGAGAAGTAACATATGCCATGAAATTCTTTGATAAAGCACTGTAAATACTGCTCCCATTTAAAAACTATTACTTTAACATAATGAGAATGAGCAAACATTTTAAAAGCAGTTAGCACAAATTCTGTCACACACATAATTGACAGTCACTAAATATTAGTCTCATTTTCTTCCATCAGTTTTATCATGGTTCATTATTCAGTAATACCCTAAAAATTTGCTCTTTCTGGATATTTCTTTTCCACAGTCCTGAGGTAATAGGGAATACTGGTCAGTATGAGGTGTTGCTTAGTGTTATGAGGTAAACAAAGAAAAACAGGCCTTACTGCAATACTTCTCAGAATCTCTAATATGCTGATATCCAGAGACTCTTTGGAAGGAAATGTGATATGAAATACTTTTGACTTTCTTGTCCAGGAAACCAATCACCTGACATGTTTGCTAATCATGTCAGGAGACCAAAGGTCTATTTAGAGATAAGAATCCCTGAATCACCTACTAGTTCACTTGCTACTCCTTTCTGCTAAGGCTTTGTTTTCTCTCTATCCCTTTAGCTATTTAATCAATCCATTTTAACTCTTTGTACCACTGTTTCTTCTACCCGTTAGGGCCTGTGGAACATTAAACATTGATGAACTCAGGTGAAGAAATGCTTAGCATGTAATGATGCAGAATAAAACAGGAACTCTTTAAGAAAAGAAAATTGGCATTCACCAGACCTTCCCTGCTCACTGGAAGAAAACTACTTAACAAAAACAAAGAACCTAAGAAAATGCCTAGAATGCTATGGAGAGGAGAAACGCAGAAGGAATGAGGATATGAAAAAGTGGTTTACACCTATTGTACATTCAGCCTGACAACGTTCAGTTTTAGAGTGTTGTCTTAATTGCCTGCAAGATGGTAAAGGTTGATTTTTCTTTCTACAATGTTAGCACTGAGCTAAATGCTTTGTATGTATTATCTGATTTAATCTTTACCACAGTCCTACAAGACTGAAGTAATTATTATCCACATTTTAACAATGAGGTAGCCAGGGCTCAGAGGAATTTTGAACTTGCCCAAGGTCTCAGCAGGTAAAGTAAATAAAAGAGCCAATTTTCAAACCAAGGTAGTTTGACTCTACAGCCTACTCTTCAATCAACATTCCAGCCCAACCTCTTCACGTAGGGCGTCTCAGTTACTTTTCCATCTCTAGGACAAAATACCAGACATGTATAACTTAAAGGAGAGTTTTCTTTTGGCTCGTGGTTACAGGGTCTGGTTGGCTAGATCCAAGGCAGAGACGGCATGGTGGAAAGGTCAGGAAAGAGGAAAGTGGCTCATGTTGTGGTGGGCAGGAGGGAGACAGAAGGAAGGAGACCCAGAGAGACACTTACCCTTCCAGGTCACCACCCCCCCTTTCAACCAGGCTCCCTCCCTAACAGCACATTTCAGTATATACCGCCCCATGATGCGATCACCTTCCAAAGCCCCGTCTTTGAGCACGTAAGAGTTTTGGGGGATCGTTCTTGATCTAAACCTTAATAGAAAACAATATACTGTTTTTTCCATTACAGAAAGCTTTCCCATATTAATTTAGAACTACCTAAGTAAAACTTCCATATGGTCTTGATAAGGCCTTGGAGATGGTAAAGTCATACATGACCCTGGAATTTTCAGATCTGAAACCAGAAGCCTCACTATTTCAAAATAAACGCAATGCTATCATAGGTATAATCGAAAATTTACAGCCCCAACTCTCACTTCATTTTGCTTAGCAATTAGGCTAAAATAAAACTCTTTTCTCTATAGAAATACTGTTCCCTTATCATGTTCATAGAGCTTCCTTTAATATAAATGTTGCAGACAACATTACAGAGAGACTGTGGTATGGAGCCAGGTCTTTGAACACCCGCTCTATCCTTACGCTTCATATCATGCTATAAAAACTGGGCTATGACCTTCCAAAGGAACTGTAAAGGACTGTTTGGTGCATCTTATCTTTTCTACTCGGCACCCACAGTCTTCTTGATTGCATTTTCACATAAACCCTGTGGATATTGAATGAAGCTGGCCCCATTCAATATTTGTATTGAATCTTCTCAGAAAACTGGTTCTGTTTTTCTTTGGGCAATCAGTAGGCCGTTTCTGATGCATTTCAGTAACATTCTGATGATGTACTTCCCCAGCCATTTTTCATAAGGGACATTCGCACTCTTATTTTTAAGATAAGCCTTTCCAGAGTTATCTGAATCCATCATACTGTATAAAAAGTATAGTTGTCACCTTGTCGA